AGCAGACTAAAGTGCCTGCTTAGGCAGAACGCAGAGGCCGGGTTTCATTCCTGGTGTGCCGTGCTGGCCCCTCCTGTGGGGAGCACCGAAACAGCAATTGACACTGGGAGTGATGGTGCACACCTATATTCCCAGTGGTTGGGAGGCTATAAATAGGAGAATCACTACGAGTCCAATCTACATAGTGTGACCCTGTAGACCCTGTCCTAAGTACAGGAAAAAAGAATCCCGACTTATTCCTGCTGGATCTTGATTTTGAACCCAGAGTAAAAGTCTGCCCTCTCTTACTCATACAACCCAGGCAGAGCTCTGTGCTGCTGTATGAGTCTGAGAAGGTGCTGCCTGCTTTCTGTACATCACTGCCATGATGAGGTTATGGAAATGAGGTGACACTGTGGTCGCCCTTCTCAAGGTCACCATCGCAGGTAAGGTTTCCTAAGGAGCACCACACATTTGAGGACTGTGAAGTTGAGCTGGTATGAGACCTTTCATTTCTGTTCTTGTCTCATTTCTGACAATAATAAGAATGACAACAATAGTAGCTATTATTTTTATTAGCATTACTTAGTATTTGCTTAGTATGCCTGTTATTTAGTATTGGAAGCAAGACCCAAGGTCTCAGAAGTGCTAGGAAAGCACTGTACTACTGAGCTCCTTCTCCAGCACTAGGGTGCTCTTTTTGATTGACAAAAAATAGTTCCTGCACCATCTGATGCTATAGTACTTGATTTCTTTATGTCTGGTCAGTGAGCATCCCCACTCCCATACAAGAACTGAAGACTTTCAGCAAGGGATTCCCCGTCCCCCAACTGCTTGCTTCTTGGTTTACACAAAACTGGGGAAGAAGAATATTGGCAACAGCCTCCTGATTGTTGTCCTGCTAATGTTCAAAGGCCCTAGGGCAGTGTGTGCAATCTGACACTGTTCTACATGCACCCCAGCCAATGAGGTGTGACTACTGCGCCCCTGGTATGCAGCTAACACCGCAGCAGAGCTGAAGCCTCAGCTTTATTAGTTTTAATTAACTTCAATTTCAGTAGCCATGTGTGGCTTATGGCTCCTTTACTCAATGCTGCAGCTATAGCTACCTGGTCCCACTTGATCATCTCAAGCAGTTTTTACCTTTTTCCCTGAAGATATGGATCTGCTCATCCCCCAAACTCTGTTTCTGATCAAAGCACTCGAGAATGTATGTAGAAAATCTACAAACTCTTCCAAGAGTGACACCATCGTCGTAGCTACAGAGAAAAGGCCAAGAGGCTTCTTAGAGAAGAGGGGCAGGTTCCTCTGCCACTAGGGGTCACTGAATTGGGAACAGAGTCCCCAGGGGTTGGGATGAACCCACTCCAGGCAGTTCAATCACAAGCAAAGAGCTAAAAAAAGAAATTCTGAGTGGCTTGAAAGACTATCTTGAAAAACAAAACCAGTGGAACAAAACCAGTGGGTGTCTTGTCAGCCTGGAGCAACCAATACCACTAGCCAAAAAAACAGAACTAATTACTGGCTTAAAAGGAGAAGAAAAAGGAGGGGGGTAAAAAAAAAAAAAGAGCGAAAACAACTACAGCAGAAAATATCTAAGGAATGCCAGTAGTTTCCAGGCCTTTCTTAGCAAGCAGCCTGTGTCTGATACTTCCTGGGGCTCCCTCATCCCGCTGCCCTCCTTTGCCATTTGCAGTGCATGAGTCCTTGTGGGAGGCTCCTTTCTGACATTTCACTCTTTCTGTTTACCTGTTGAGTAAGGGGGTAAAACTCATGGTTTTCCTTTCTTCAGCAGGACAAAGGTCTCCTTGTGGAGTGACAGTGTGGGTGACATGGTGGCTTTCAGGTGGCCTCTGCCTCAAGAGCCGCTCTGAACCCTCTAGTGGCCACCCTGCCCTAGCCAAGTATAACTGCTTCCTCTTTCCTAACTGCCCCTCAGGGCCTTCTTCTTCTTCTTCTTTTTTTTTTTTTTTTTTCTGAAGAAAGAACCACCCCAAACAGAAAGGGCATTGTAGCTTCTGCCTCCAGTATTTTTTTTAAGTAGAAGGAAAATGGAAAATACAGAAAATGGGTTTTAAAATCATCAGAGGACAGAGGGAAGGCCAGAAAACAATATTATGATTTTGTTTCCTGGAAGAACGTTACAAGTGCTACTATCCCAAACTTTAGAGATTCCCCTGCAAGAGGAAAATAATTATTTTCCTTCTCTTTTTAAGGGAGGACAACATTAAGATATAGCAGTTCCGTACGGCTCTAATTTTTGGTTTCCCCCTCCATTGAGCTGAAGGTTGGAATTCTGCCTGCGTTGTGAGCTCACTGGGAAAGGCCCTCCCCAACTGCGGGCTGAAAGGATCAGCCACAGCAGGACAGATGCTGGAATTCCCACCCAGTAACCAAAGGCTGTGGAGCGGGGAGCTGATGTGGGCGGCAGAGGCCAGGGTCAGAGGGAGGCACTGTAAGCCCATCCAGTGATGCAGCTCACTTGCTATCTGGTGGCCTGGGATCCTGGGCAGAGCTGGTGTCAGACACCTTTGGCAATAATCTGCTTAGAAGAGTGTGAGGGAAGACAAAGAAACTAAGACTCATGCACCCTCCAGACCTCATGTACAATACACACAGATACCCCAGTCTTCCTTGCATTCGGATAAAAGATGGGGCCTGGGAAAAAGCACCAATTAATTGGATGCAGTCTCAAAGGGGAGGAAATGAAATGAAAAATCCAGGCTGAGTTATAAAAATAAGTATTTTTTTTTTTTTTTGCAATGTGCAAGAGGCTCATTATATTAATTAAACATTATTGCAGTGAGTGAGAGGGGGAGGTGATCAGGCTGGGACGAGGTAAGTGTTCTCTCCCATGCCCTAGGCCTCTGCCAGCTTGGGTACGAATCTCTCTGAGCACTCAGACACTGAAGAGATAAACACTTGAAATATGAAAATGTTTTTCTTCAGAGCAGACCGCTGTGACCCTCCCAGAAACTGAGTGTGGTCTGTGTCAGAAGCCTGGCCTCGAGTGGTCTCTCCATGCTTGTCCCTGGAGCAGGACAGGGCTAGCCCTTGGGGTGAGGCATAGAAGGGGATTCTTTTCTAGCCTTTGCCCACACTTGCTGGCAACACTTGGTGTACTAGATTTCCCTTCCCTTTCAAATACTTAGGGGACCCAAGGTCCAGGCTGGCATTGTGGAAAATTGAAACAAAATGGTAGCAAGTTGGGGGGATGTGCACTAGCTTAGGAGGGCCATTTGTTAAATTTTCCAGAAGTTTGCAAGTCCGTTAAATATAATCGTTATTAAAACTAAATTAAGGGCTGGCCAAATAGCTCAGCAGATTAAAGCACCTGCAAGCAGGCACAGGGACCAGGGGTTCGATCCCCAGGCCTGCCATGCTGGCCCCTTACCTGGGGCTTGCCGAAACGGCAATTGAGACTGCGTGGTGGTGTGCGCCTGTAATCCCAGCTCTTGGGAGGCTGTAAATAGGTGGGTCACTACGAATCTGATCTAGTAGCGAGACCCTGAACACCCTGTAGAACTTAAAAAAAAAACCCAAGAAACCCCCACAAAACCTAAATTATATAGTTACAATGAATTGTATTAAAAACAAAAGGTAATATAGACCCCAAACTTCACACTTTCTCATTATTTTAATGTGTTTTTTTTAATTAGCATCTCTACTTTGAAGGTTCTTTATGTATACTATATCTGTACAATGGTAGAGGCCTGCCCCTTAGCTCAGTTCTTTGAGTGGCTGCTTCAACAAAGCAGTCAGGTTCAGGTTGCTGTAGTTCGATCCCCACAACTCAAGCCAGCCAAACCTGCCCTGAAGGCATTCGGAGCAAAAA